AGTGTGAAAGACATGCATGTTTAATCTTAAACAGAAGTTAAAATGTAGATTTGCATATAGGTAAAGAACTTTCAGCTCAATAATCCTAAAAAATTAATAAATACAGTAAACTTGAACACAAGTCCAAGCCATTAAACACCTCTCCTTCATTTAATTTGGAAGAAAATGAAGGAACAGGAAGGATATTGAAAATTTTAAGGCTTTGTTTGGAATTTTGACTCTCATGCATAACTGTTGGGGTGACTGATACACTGATAATTTCTGCTATTTTTTTTCTTTTTCTTTCTAGTTTTCTGAGGTGCTGAGTCCCCTTCACTCTACTTGAAAGAGTATTTGTGGGCAAACTCCTGTTGTAAATTGGAGACAGAGGTCTGGCACCTCACTCATCCTTTGCTGCACAGCAGACATCTTGGGCCTGATCCAAAGACAGCAGTGCTCAGTGAATCAAGCTCAGTCACTTTAAATGAATGCAGCTTTCAAGGAATTAACTTCAGGAGAGGAAACAAGAGTGGATCATTTTACATTTATGGATTTTTTTTTTATGTGGGAGATTTCCTCCATTTCACATATCTGGTATATTGTCCACTTAGTCCTCCTTCCTGAAAGGAGAACCTGCAAGTGTAGACCACAAGTCAGGGCAAGGAACATTTCTCTCTCTGGTTCAAACGTCTGCCAGTCCCAACAAATGATTGATCAAAGCTGGGATTTGAATTCAGATCATCTCTGCAGTTATGAAATGCTTAAAGGCTTCTTTCCTCTTTACCAAAGAAGAAAAACATGACAACTATTTTCTTTGGGAGTAATTCAGGTCCCCTTCCCAGCAATTACACTGCATTTTGCAGCATTGCTCTGGATGGAGTTGTCACCTACAATATACGTACCGTTCAGTGTTCAGCTGGTATTCACCATTGTGCTTGTGTTGATGAGAACTCCAATTTTATGATCTCTTTTAGAACTTGAGGATTATTTTTTTTTCTCACTTCAGACAATTGCCATGTCCACCCCACCCAGATGCCTTATCATTATGAGACATGTCTCCAAGGAGTTCAAAACAAAAAGATACTTTGCAGAACAGTTATAAAATAAGCATTTTACTATCTTTCTTCTCAAACTAAGATATTCTTATGGCTAGTCTTAAGGTCTGCCTTATGCCTTGTATTTTTGTTTTACACTTGCAGTGGAAAAATAGAGGTGTACTGAAAGACTTTACAACCACTTCACTTTGGAAATATATCCCTCCAATTGTGAAACAGCACATACCAGCACTGAGAAGCATTAAGTAATGTCACCAGGTATAAAGAACTACAAAAGAATCTCAGTGTTCTGCCTCTCTGGAATTGCTCACAGCAATGCTGCATGTTGCCTTCTAAGCTCACTAAGACCAGGAAAAAAATCAACTTATTCTGAAAGAAAATTGAGTTTTTTGATCACAATGAAAAGTAGTGAAGATAAGATGAAGAAGGAAGACCAACAAGAGGACTAACTCTTGCCTGCAGCAATAATACAGTTTGCCTGGAGATATGATGATATCCCTGAATAGGGGAACAAGGTTGGTGCAGCGTCATCCCACCATGAGCTGGGAATAATTACAGTAATTTCTATGCTCATCTTCATGCAAAGCACAAACATAACACAGAAATAACAGACTCTTTTGCTGAAGATTTTGAAACTGAAACGCTTATTTCCATGAAACATACCAGTGAGGCAGGATTTGGAGTGACAGACACTGTCAAACCTGGTATCCTAATGCCTCAGAGGCACTTCCCTGGAGGAGGACCAGGTTAGGGAACTTTTAAACGAACTGGACATGCATAAGCCCATAGAGCTTATTAAGATGCACCCACACATGCAGAGGGAGCTGGCTGATGGCTCTGTGAGGTCATTCTCAATTATCTTCTTTTCATGATGATAGGGAAAGTCTTCTGAAGATTGAAGGAAAGTAAATGTCACTCCTATCTTCACGAAGAGCAAGAAGAGTGAGCCAGGGAACTACAGGCCAGTCAGCCTCACCTCGATCCCTGAGAAAGCAATGGAGCAACTTATGCTGGAAACCATTTCCAGCCACATGAAGGATGGGAAGGTGATTGTGAGCAGATAGCATGGATTTATGAAGGGGAAATTATGCTTCACAAACCTGATAGCCTTCCACAATGAGGTAACTAACTCAGTGAGCAAGGAGAGAGGTGTGGATGTTGTTTACCTCAACATCAGCAAGGCATTTGACATGGTTTTCCATAAAACCCTCATAGAGAAGCTGACAAAGTACAGGTTAGGTAAACAGACAGTGAGCCGGACTGAAAACTGGCTTGGGGCTTACTGTGTCATCCGTGGCCCAAAATCCAGCTGGAAGACAGTCACGAGTAGTGTACCCCAGGGGTGGATACTCATGCCAATACTGTTTAAACTTTTCACTTATGACCTGGATGATGGGTCAAGTACACCCTCAACAACTTTGCAGTTGATACAAAGCTAGGAGGAGTGCCTGATGCACCAGACAGGTGTGCTCCTGTTCAGAGGATTTCAACCTCATGAAGTTCCACAAAGACAAAAGCACAGTTCTGCCCCGGGAAGGAACAACCCAGGCACTCATTCACACTGGGGGCTGAGCGGCTGGAAAGCAGCTTTGCTGAGAAGGACCTTGGGGTCCTTCCTGGTGGGTGCCAAGCTGACCAAGAGCCAATAATGCATAGTAAAAAAGACCAGGCCAACAGTGTGCTGGGGTGTGTTAGGAAGAGCCTTGCCAGCAAGCTGAGGGAGGTGATGCTTACATCTACTTGGCCCTGGTAAGACGGGTGAGCAGAAAAGGTTTAAAATTTCTCCACCCCATAGATGCTGCCATTTAATTAACGTCCTCTTAGTTTGAAGTCATAACATAAAACAGATAAAAGATTGCCTGAGTCAAGAGACCTATGTTACTGAATTGGTGTCTTGATAAACACACAGGGGCTCTGGTGAAAAAATGCTTTGTGTCTGGTACTTAAACTTGTACTTAAAAAAAAAAAGGTAAGAGTTAAAGAAAGGGTTATTTTCACTGAGATTTCAGGTGCTAGATATGGATACAATTTACTCAGCTTACTACTGGGAATGAGTTATTAATCTCACAGAAAGAGACTAAATGCCTGCTGCATAGCTCACCATTTAGAATCCACACAGTTCTTTTCAGCCATAGGTACACTATGACCATGATTCAGGACCATAAGGATGAACTGTTAAGAAAAGAAACGATTGATGAGATTCTTAGACAGAAACAGGTAACCTTGAGATCCTTCCATAGAACAAGGAAAAGAGCAGCATGTTGGAGAGAGGGCTTTTTATGACAGGCATCTCGTGGGGAACACAACAAAAACCTGTAAACTTTACCATGCTATCTTACAGAATCACTACCAAGGAATAAAACCATCCCCCGCCCTGAGTGAAAGCAAATTTAAAGCAGTCTGTTTATTCAGTCTGCAGCTTTTTTTCCATTGTTCATTAAAATATGTTATTGTAGCACAAGTGGAATTCAGGAGGTGATCTCCCCAGCTGATGGTTTGATTGGTGAGAATATTAGACTTCAACTTTATCTCAGCAAATAATGGGCTCTCTCTGGAATAGCTGAAACTTTAGACAGGAAGGAAGAGACATTAGTGGGAACTTCCTCTAGACAACAGTCCTTGGTTTATAGAAATCCTGTTCCATTATCTCTAAATATTATACAGACATAAATATACAGAGCAACAGCATTTACTGCGCTGAATTTGGAAACATAGTGCTCTCTGCAAGAATCTTCAATACTTTTATTTTACATACCTCTTTATACTGAAAATGACAATCATGGATTTGGAGAAATCTAGTGACAAAAATATGGAACTTCTATTTTAACAGACTCGGCGCATTTTCTAATTCTTTGTCTACTCCAGTTATACAGAGTGAAGGATACAGTCTACTTCTTTTTCAGAAAACTTTTCTAAGAGAGCAAAACAACTACAAATCCAGACCCCACCACTTTTTATTATTTTTTGTAAAAGACTAGATTACTGTCTGGCTAAGATTCTTATCTATAGTCAACTGTGCTTTTTTCTCTTTGATCAGGACTACCTTTATGTAAAAATTTCCTGAAATTTATGCATCATAAAGCACGTGTTATTTCTGCATCAGTCCTGTTTTTGTTCTATGTTGAATATCTTTGCATGTACTTTTGTCAAAGTAGAGGTTGCATATGACACTGCAGCTTGCAACCTGAGAAAAAAAAATTGCAGAGAATACAAATAATTTTCCCTGTTATTTCATTTCTTAGTGAATACTACAAGATGTAAGGTCAATATTAGCTATGTTTCACTACTTTTTATCACAGTTCTCTCCTTATAATTACGTTAAAAAAACATAAAATAAGGAAGTTAATCAGTTCTCCACTGGGAAATGAAAATTTGCTGACAGATCCAAAGTACATTTGCTTTTATTATAAGAATTTATACTATGAAGAAATTCTGACTTAAAAGGATGCTTGTCATCCTTAGATGTTTTCCTTACTCGTTATAAATTGCTATTTAAATAGGGATGGTATGCTGATACTACCATTTATCTTATTACACACTTCATTTAAGATAATGCATATGAGAGCCTGTCAGGCAGCCCTTATTCAGGGAAAACTCCAATTCTGTTTGGCAGGGATAGGACTACAAGACAATTAGAGATTCGTTGTGTAAAGCAGACTGAAGTTTCACGTTTGAGATGCAATCCAGCAACGGGCCTCAGTAAAATGTTCTGATGATTTTACACTTATTGTGCAGTATTTCCTTCTTATTTCTACAAGTTTCTAAAATTCAGAAGTTTATCTCTAAAATTTTTAAATGTTGCAAAAGGACACATATTATTAAAACCCACGATTTCTAAAAACCTGGAAAAATACTTTTATCTGTCACTGTAGTGGTGAGCGAATGAGCTCAGTAGTCCAGCTTTCCATGCTGCTTGTGCACATCTCTCATTGTTGGTCCATTGGGGCAGGAAGGAAGTGCCTGGGTTCAGTTCTTGGTGTTCTGTAAAGCTTCTATGAGAGCTTTATTGTATTCTGTGACTCGCTTTCTCACGTTCTTCATTACTGGCTGGTAGTCACTCTCCTGACTTTTTGTTGCTATAACTGATTAAAAGAATTAAGCAAACAAACTGCCAGTATAAATATTAGCATAATTAAAGATCATAAGGGAACCACAATACAGCAAGTTTCCTTCTGTGAAAACTGTCAAGGGTTGCAAATAATGGAAAAAACTCAAATTGCGTCTAATTTACTAGCTGCCATCTCATGCCGAGCATGGTAAAAAAAAAAAAAGATTACATGCCTAAGTCAGTTTTGTTTTCATAGGTACAGGCAATAGGTGCCTGGTGGAAGACTCTGCCCATTGTTACATTGCAAACAAAACCATTCCAAGGCACGCAGCTATGTACCACCATACAGTCTGGCACTTTAGAACTCTGGTTACAAAACTCCTAGTCCAAGAAAGCAGGACCTTTCCACTAGCCCACTACATTCCACAGATGTAAAACTCTGTATAAGGGTCTGCCCTTGGAAAAGTAATGCATTGTAGCAAGTTAGGAGGCGCTTTAATACCTTGATCAACCTTTTCTCTTAGTTTGTTTTAGAGTTTCTTCTGCCAGAGAAAATAGGATCTAAGATTTTTGGCTTATTAAAATATTCCTTTAGAGCCTTCTTCAAGGCAAGGAGGTGGCTCTAATTATATTATATTGTCCAAGACTTTTTCCAGATACTTTCCAAGAATTAGAGCACTTGCTAGATAGGAGAAATGGGATATTTGTGATACAAAAAAGATAACACTATATGCAGATCCTTTTTTTTTTTTTTCCTGATAGCTAGTCTGTTACAGAATTGCCTGAAACATATTCTTGTGCCATTTTCTGAGACATGTATCAATATCCATTGTCCAACACACAACACTGGATGTTATGGTCTAGTTTTGCTGTTATTTTACCAATTACATTGGTACTGTAATTATATAACAGCAACTCTATGCATCTTTGACATTTCAGACTTTTTGTTTCCTAAATAATTTTAAAGAACTGAATTTATTGCAGTGAATTCAAAATCTCTAGAATATAAAAGTGCAACTATGCCCTACTCAGACCTCTACAATAAGTATGGAGAACAGTACAAGATAAGAAGAGCCATCAATTCTAATTAAAAAAACTTCAGTGCTTTTGCTAATTTCAAGAACTACCTTATGAAAGTCACTTGCAGCAAATAAGATTTTGCTGATGTTTTGGAAGGTCTTATATGATTAGTGGAATGTAACTCTAATTAGCATCACATAATGAGAGAGCTACAACTCAGTTCCCCCATCCCAGTCCATTTTGAAGCTAAGGTATCTCCTTGTCATATCTTACCACGTTTATATGGCTTTTTTCCCTCTAATGTGCAATTCTTCTTTTATTGGATAAGAAATACATTAAATGCATACAATTTGTTGTTTACTTTTTCATCATCGATATTTATAGTATTTTAAAACTGAAAAATACCACACAAAATCACCATGCCATGCAGATTTTTAAACAATGCTACACTTGCTGCATAATTTCAGATAAGACTGGACAGATGTGAAGATGATCTTCGTATGAAACCTAATGGCACAACTGACCCATCAGGAAAAACCCCAGATTGCAAGACAAATCTTATGCTTTAGGACCCCGTAAAATTATTTCAGACAACACATGCAAGTTTTGCTATAAACAATATCTATCACCTAACCAGACATTTGCAAAGCATCGCCTTTCCCCTTCTCTCCTGTCTCCTGTTCCTCTTTCCATCCTGTCTTATTCTGCTGGAGGAAACAGACTTCTTCCTCAATTAATACAGTGCAAGAATTTACTGTATTTCTTAAAGAAAAGGATACATTCCTTCATCATAAAGTTGTTCTGCTCATGGTGCTGCCACTTCCTCTCCAAATTTGTAAGCTGAAAACAAAAAGAGCCAAAAATGAAAAGAATAATTATTACACATATACTTTACACAAAGAATCTCCGCAAAATGTTGAATTAATACCTTGTACTCTATCATCTGATAAGATCAAAGTTATTTCACAAAAAACCCACAGAAATGAGAAACAATAGCAAAATGATTTTTAAAGTTGCCAATGATTAACCTGTATATAATTAAGCAACTGCAGTGGTAGGTGGAAAATATCAGATAAGAATTCAAGACTTGTCATATAGGAAAATGTGTAAGCAAGTCAGAAGTAAAAAGGTGAACACAGCAGGGAGATACTAATTCTTCTTATACATCTTATCATTTAAATCTCTTCTTAAAATCAGTAAGATCTAAAATCACCAAAGATACAGTATTTCCTGATGCTGTCTTGGACTTTGAGCTACACAGAAGAAACTTCCTTACTTCCATAGTTAAGTTTCCTGTCTGATGCCAGAAGCCGTGATAAGAACAGAGCTGCAGTGAGAAGATTGTAGGAGTGTGGGTTAAGTGCTGGCACTTCTTCAATACTTTCAGCATCAACAGGAAACTAATGTGGACATTATATTGATGGCTGCTTCCTTACAATACAATTTTATATTTGTTTTTCTGATGCTGCTGTTCAAGGTTCTGCATTTCAAGATATGCAGATGTTATTTTTAAATGCAAAAACTGAAAATCATCCTGAGACTAAACTTTCAGTGGAAACTAAGGAAAATATTAGGAAACATTAGGAAAACATTAGGAAAATATTGCAACATTTTACTTGAAAGCTTATCCTTAAGCTAGAATATATGAAAATGGTTGCTATATTACTAAAATCAAATCTTACAGTGAAGAATTAGTTATCTAGTGTACTTGTTCACAGCAAACATGGCAGTCATTTATTTCCAAGATATGATATTTCTGACCAATTACAATTTTTATTGCTCTCTTTGTAGATGCTGCTACATGCAATACAGCTGCTAAAGGAGCCCAGGTTTAAAATACCTTCTGATATATATCAAGGGAAATATTCAGTGTATTTTTATAGTAACTTCTTGAAGGCCACAACTCATACAGTTGACTGCTTGCAAAATTGCCCAAACCCTCAAGATACGTAAATGCTATTTGTACTTCAAAATGCTTGATGCATGTCAACTAATCAGCTATTTTAAGATATAACTTTATTCTCCCTCATGACATTTATGTCATAAAAAGGAAAGAAACAAATCCTTTTTGCACACATTGAAATAGAACTGCCACAGCTTCATGAACTGAAGAAATGCTGTACAACTACTATTTTACATAAAATTTTTAGCATCATCATGCAAGTATCTTAACACCAGCTGGGTATCCATTTCTGAATTACATAATCTCTAGGAATAAGAATCTGATCTGGGCATAAAAAAATATACAGTATCTGAAGTGTTGTAGACTTTGGCATGCAGCTTTATGGATTTATATCATCACCTAAAGTTAGCCCACAATAATCATATGCTACGAATGTATACGCATACATTCTGGAAGTCATGGTGCAGCAGGAAAGCTACAACATAGTCGCCATCACGGAAACATGGTGGGACAAGTCTCATGACTGGAGTGCTGCAATGAATGGCTATAAGCTCTTCAGAAGGGATAAGCAAGGAAAGAGAGGTGGTGGAGTGGCTTTATATATTAGAGAAAGTTTTGACTGTTTGAATTTAATGATGGTGATGATAAGGTCGAGTGCCTTTGGATAAAAATCAGGGGGAAGGCCAATAAGGCAGATATCCTGATAAGAGGTAACTCTGTAACTCTATGTTACTCTGGCCACAGTAGTAAGAGACAACAAAAAATGTTTTTACAAATACGTTAACAACAAAAGGAGGACCAAAGAGAATCTCCCCCCTTTACTGGATGAAGAGGGGAACATTGCCAGCAAGGATGAGGAAAAGGCAGAGGTACTTAATGCCTTCTTTGCCTCAGTCTTTAATAGCCAGACCAGTTATCCTCAGGGCAGCCAGTTCCCTGAGCTGGATGACAGGGGTGGGGAACAGAACAATCCTCCCATTATCCAGGAGGAAGCAGTTAGTGACCTGCTGCTCCACCTAGACATGAACAAGTCTATGGGGCTGGATGGGATTCATTGGAGGATACTGAAGGAGCTGGCGGATGTGCTTGCCAAGCCAATCTCCATTATCTACCAGAAGTCCTGGCTAACTG